CAGCAGGGACCCGCTGTGCGCTGAGGGACAGCAGCCCCGGGGCGGCGGTGGTGTCTGTGTGTGTGAATGTGTGTCTGTACGTGTGTCTGTGTGGGTGGTGTGGGCTGCTGTCCCTGAGGGCCGCATCGCCACCTGCTTTTAGGTTCCTAACTGGATTTACATGCGTCCTCTTTGGGGAGTGTTGGTGTCAGCCAGAGGTCTCGGTCCCCTGAAGCAGAACGTACATTTGTTGTTAAACCGGGCCTGCTTCACCATTATATATCTTTTACTTTGTTTGGCTTCACGAAGTGTATCGGGAAGTTACAAAGAAGTTAGGAGAGAATGAAGTGTGTTTGCTTTGAGGAGCCATAATGCCTGATGTTGATTTCTGTGTAACTGGGGAGTGAAGGTTCCATTTCTGATGTGAGTTGTTCTCCCATTGTAGCAATCTAAACTTTTCTCTCGGGAGAGCTGGCGAGGAAATCCAGTGGGCAATGGGTTTGTCTTGGTGCTTAGGTTCCTCTCTCTCTCTGGCATGCTATGTTTCATAAATCAGCAGCTAGATTTTCACTTTCTTCTTGTGTCATTAGTGTTCCTGGAGGTTCTTTATGTTTCTTCACACACCTACTATTATAATTTGTTTTCTTACATAATTGTTTCTAGGAAATTATAAGCATTAACATGCCTCAAGGATTTGAAGTTATACTAATAATAATGCAGAAGAATCCTGCCTGGCAAATTTTGAAATACATTGAATTTTCGATTCCTAAATTAAGTGTTTTGAATTACAATAATGAGTCACCAAAAAACAAGCAAGAATGTATTATTTTGTATACGGTCAGCTGTATGGGTATGGGAATTTGAGAAGTACAGCTTTCTTTGCAGACCTCCAATGCAGGCAGAGCAATATTCCCACATAATTTATTTGTATTTCTTTCATTAGGAAACACTTTGCAGCTGTAAGGATGATAATATACTAGAATCCTTTCTACGGTAATTTGAAGCCATTTTCATTCCCAGCAATAAATGGTTTAGGAAACAGCTTATTTCTGTTTTTGTTAAAAGTGATTCTTCTGCTTTGTCTTGCAGGGGGTATGTGTGTTATTTTTTTGTGTCTCCTCTTTTTTAGCCTAAACGTTCCCACTTACTTTAATCTTTTCTTGTATATTTTGCATTTAAACTCAGATCATTCTTGATCCTCTTCTCTGAATTCATTCATTCATTCCAATCAGTTTGTATGTTTGACTCAATTTGAAGGGCAGTATTCAAAACTGGATAGACTACTCCAGCTGAATTCTAAACAGTAGTAGGTAAGCAAAGAGGAAGATTTATGTCCTCTCAAAGCTTTACATCGTTCACTCATCCTGGTATGGATGGTAGCTTTTAACATATACACCTTCTGTTCCAACTTAGACTCTAGGTCTTTTCTGCACCAGGAGATTATTCTGTCCTAAACTGAAGAGCTTGCTTTTCTTCTTATTTAAGTACCCTCTTCCTGATTGCTCGTTTGCTTTTTTGTTGGAGCTTTTTTTTTTTCAAATAAACAAAAAACAAAAGCAAAACCAAAAAAACACAACAATGTGAACTTTTCTGATTAATAAAGCCTGGATTAGAATTCAGAATTTTCTTCCATCGTGTTTTCAATTTGTTGTAGCTTGTTGCCACATGTAATATTAAGGAAACAGTTAATCATTAAACAATACTACTTAGGAACGTCCTCTCTGAGCATTCAGTGGCCTGCGTAACTCCTTGATTCTATTTTTCTGCATGACCTTGCAGCCAAGATGAAAAGTAGTGACAGTGTAACATTAATGGACTTTTGCCATAAACTAAATCCTTATCACATAGTGAGTTAGGACAAGCCTCTGTACTTTCAAGGCTAGCAGGAAGCAATATTCTTCCAAGTTTGTCTTTTGCTCTTTGATCTTCAGCAGCAGCATGTTTATTCCTTAGATGTTGAAGGCACAGAGCACTCTGAAATAGACATGGAGATGCCTGTCCTTAGTAAATAGGATTTGAAAATATATTTGGGCCACACAGTAATGCCCATCTTGGCTCCTTTTCCCTTCCCTTGCATCCCCTTAGTTTAGCTTATCTGAGCCTTCAGTCTTTCTCAGGGCAAGAAGATCACAGGAAGAAGCTCTGCTCTGCTTTTGACACCTTGTACTACAGAGCATTTTCCTCATTCACCAGATAGAATCTTAAAAAATTCATAAGCTAAATACAAAATCCCTTGTGTAATATGCCACAGCTGTCTCTTACTTCGGACTTTTTTTCTTTGCATGTCACTGTAGTGTTTGAGCATTTTCCTGATGTGTAAATTAGGTCTGTATGACAGTATGTTAACTGAAATTCATCACTCTTTACAGTTCTTCCTCAGGAGGGTTTTCTTTCCCTGCTAATAGAGGCTGCCTTGAGCTGCACAGAAACTCAGCATAGCAGAGAGTCTTCTCTCCTTTCCTCAGCCTGCCTGTCTTTAGCTTCATGGTAGCACAAACTAGAAAGGATGTGGTGTCACACACTTACTCTCTCTAAACTCCCAGCTTTCACAAGATGTGACAACTGGGAGGAATAGGGGGTCTCCTAAAAGTGTTGTGTTTTCTTGCATCTTCAGAAGAAGACTGAAACTGAGTAGCTGTTAAAATTCTACAGGAAAAGAGAATTGGAAAGGAAAAGTTGACTTTCTCAACTGCTTTATCTACCCTGAACTGTTTCAGTGAGATTAAGAAACTCCTCAGTGTAGTGACAATCACATCTGTGGCAGACATCCAAATATTCCTTATTAAGACCCACAGTTACATAGGAATATATCTGTTAGGGGTGGAACAATTCTACCTTATGACCAGGTTTTCTTTCTATTATGGTTATCAAGAAAAATATTGATTCACCAGATATTTTCAGTCTTTGTGCATGTTTCTTGAATCTCATTGTAACTTGCTTTCAAATACAGTGGGCTTTTATTCTTTGCAATTACTTTGAATAGACCCTTTGGATACTTATGATTTTTTTAAAAAATAAGGACATTATCTCTTTGTGAAGTGGCAGGGGTTATGGAGACACTGCAGACATTAATTTTTTATTCTGCTGGTATGTTGAATGAATATGCAGCTTGTAATAACTTTGAGATACACAGGACTATAATTTGTCGTAGTTTGATACTACAACTCACAAGTGCTTACTGTTATGCTCTTGCTTTAAAGTTTGCCCCCTTCATCCCTTTTCTTCTGTATTGGTAATATCATAGAGGTATTTTTAGTCTGTTGTTTGTAGTATGCTTGTGGGCTGGAATACTTAATCTGTCTAGACATGGGTTGGCCTCACAGTGGAAGGTTTGAGCTAAATGTTTGTTTGAGGTACTTTATAGCTGTTCCTATGAATATTTTAATAACTTCCCATGCACTCAGGAGCTTGTGAATTATTTTTTCTTGTTTGTAAGTCATTGAGCTGAGACACAGTAGCTTGCCCGACAGTATTCCATGTGTAAAATTCCAAGAAAATTAGAACTATTTCATTTTTTTTGTTTAGACTACAATAATAATTATGATGAATTATGAGAACGACCTTGGTATTCGCGATGACTTCACAATATATGCATGGTTAGGTATCAAAACCCTGATATTTTAGCTTTATGGTGAGATAGCAAACATGGCCTGTGTTTTCTCAATGTTCTGGGAGTTGTCTGTGTAATGGTTATAGTTTGTAGCTAGTGTGTTGCTCTTGCTGACTGGCTCCAGCATTTGCCATTTTGAGAGAAATCAAAATTTATTTTACTGCTGGATACAGTTGATAAGATGCAGAAACATGAATAGTAAATTTAACAATATCCTGAAGCTAAGTGTTTTTCTTTTCACTAACACTGCATTAATTTAATGTATTTCTGAAGTGCAAGAAATCTTAGTTCTTCTTTCTCTCATCTTCATAAATATTATATTTGGGAATTAGAATTATTGCTGTAGAGAAGGCATTTATTACAATAAGTTCTTGAATTTTTTTAATTAATATTATATAGCTGAACTATGTATTATTTGGAAGAACAGATGCAATAATTTATAGCACAGATGACTTAAACTTTTTTTCTTCTAAAAAGTAACCTGTTTTTTCTGTATCACGTAACCTAACTAGTGATTACTCTGTTACAAGGAAAGTATTTTATATAGGAAACAAGAGACAAACTTAGCAAATATGTGTTAATATAGGCTAAATAATACTCTCTTTCTTATTATAGGGACCAGTGGGATTTAAGAATCTCTCTCCTAAGAAAATTTGCTGCTTCTACAGCTTTGCATCTTAGTGTGCACTTGATGATTTCACTTGAAATACTTATCCGAAGAAATAAAGAGTAGGCGAGGTATAATTACCTTTTAAAAATGTTAAAAGTTCAGCATTGTGTAACAGCTGTCAAGATACCCAAGAAAAAGCCATATATTTGTGATATGTGCTATAAACAGTTTGAAACTCCATCAAAATTAGCTAGGCATTATCTCATACACACTGGTCAAAAGCCATTTGAATGTCATGTATGCAATAAAACATTTAGGCAACTAGTCCACCTGGAGAGGCATCAGTTAACCCATAATCTGCCTTTTAAGTGCATTGTTTGTTATAGAAACTTCAAAAATGTAATCACTTTCTTAAAGCATCAGCAGCTTCATAACGAAAATTATGAGAATGATACAAAGCAAGCACAAAGCTGTGTGAATTCTGAGCAAGACAGAGTCGCTTGTGGCATATTTCACTGTTCTGTGTGCTGGAAACCCTTTGCAACTGAAGAGAGGTGGATGCTGCATCAGTGTCTCAAGTCAGATCATCTACATGGTGCCAGAAGGAGGAAGAAAACTCACACTTGTGAATCATGTAACAAGACGTTTCCATCAAGATCCAAGCTAGAAAGACACTTCCTTATTCACACTGGCCAGAAACCTTTTAAGTGTTCTTCATGTGGCAAATCTTTCAGACAGTCAACACACTTGAAAATCCATCAGCTCACACACACAGAAGAAAGGCCTTTTCAGTGCTGTTTTTGTCAGAAGGGATTTAAAGTACAGAGCAAACTCATGAAGCATAAACAGCTCCATGCCAGAAATAAGACTTTCCCCAATATTGTATGCAAAGCAAAGACTCTTAAATATCCCAGACCACACAGTGTGTTGGAAGGAAAATGGGATAGTTTTGAGAATGCTGATACACAGGAGGATGACCCACGTGATGTGCACTCAATTTATATTGTACCCTTTCAGTGCCCATCATGTGAGCAGTGTTTTGAAACAGAGCATGTTCTAAACTTGCACAAATGTTGCTATTCAAAAGACAGCAGAAGTTCAAATAATGGTACAACAGCAGGCAGACACTCAGTCAGCAGGAAAAATAAGACCCTGATGAAAGTGAAACATACTGGAGGAAAGGCAACAGATTTTTCTCTGGTTGACAGAAAAAAAATTAAATCAGGTCACGTTGGAAGTCCTGACCTGGTTGCAGCTAGAGATCAGCGTTGTGATCAGCATGCGTCCGCTAAACCTTCCAAGGACTGCCAGAGCAGGCGTGACGTGCACAGGTCAGTTTGTAATCGGATGAAAAGAACGTTTGCTGTGCCATTACCTTGGCAAGAGCACCCACAAGCTCCCGACTTGGGCAGTAATTTAAAAGGTGTGCTTCCTAGTGAAAGCATGTTAAATATCGATAATTCATTGGATAATAAAGATGATGCTTTTTATGGTTCATCAAATGATAGTTTTTTTGATAATCCAGAAGTACTTCACTGTGCTTTTTCATCTTCTGCTAAAAATATACATAACAGACACAAAGTGTGTAAATGTGACAGATGTGAAAAAATTTTTCCATCTTCATCCAAACTTCAAAGACATTATCTTATACACACGGGACAAAAGCCCTTTGGCTGTAATGTTTGTGGGAAGACATTTAGACAGTCAGCTCACTTAAAAAGACATCAGCTCACCCATACTGAAAAGAGAGCCTGTAAAAGCCCCGTTTGCCAGGTAGAATTTGAAAACCTGAACAAACTTTTCAATCATCGGGGAGATCACACTGAATTTAAGTCTGCTCAGCCTGTGGGTTATTCAGGTTATTCTCAAACACCTTCACAGCCATCTGGCTTTCAAGAATTTGAGCTGATTCAGTCAAACCAAGCAGCTGAAATCAAAGTTGAAATCGAGTCAGGGGATTTTGTTCTTGACACCAGCAGTAGAAACCCACAGCCGTATTTGTGCAGTAAATTGTTGGAAACAGAGCAAAGCCGTTACAGCTATTGGCATGATTTTTCTGAAGGTACTGGAAAAATTGAAGCTGTTAACAAATTATATCAATGCAGTATCTGCTTTAAAACTTTTAAATCTCCTTCTAAGCTTGAAAGACATCACCTAATGCATGCTGGACAGAAGCCATTTGAATGTTTAGTTTGTGGAAAAAAATTCAGACAGGCCCCACATTTGAAAAGACACCACCTTATTCACTTTAAAGAGAGCTTAAAGCTTAGTTCCACTGAGGAACAAGCAGAGAATGTATTAGTTTTATCAAAACGGGATAATGCTCGATGAAATAATTTTTAAATTTTTGGTTGCATAATTATAAAAGATTTATATTAGGCCAAACAATTAACTGAAGGGGATTATATTTTCTATTACAGAGATGACCTGGTGAAGTTAATTTACTGTCTTCAGAACTGTCTACTTGATATAATTTGTGAGATATTCATGTTGAGATGTTTTTTAAAAATGCAACAAACCTACACACACTCTTTGCATTCTCTTCGGCTAAATTAATTTATAAGTACACATTCGTATTGTATCAATAGTGTTGCAGGAATTTGCAGTGTTCCATGAATAAGATAATTATCACCGAACATAAAATACTATATGCGAAGGCCTAACACTTCTAAACTATCAGAAAAATAAAGAGAAAAAGTAAGTTTTGAGAATATGAAAAAAAGGGTACTTTAGTTTCTTCTGGCTCCCCGTATGTTCCAAGCAAAGGTTTCTTGCTGTATTTATCCGATACTTAAAAAAAAAAAAAGGTTATTTTTAGATAGAAGAGAGTAGAAAAAGGGGAGAAAGTTCAATGAGAAGAATGTTGATGTGTTACAGAACATTCTGTTTTCTATAGGATAGAAAAAAACAACTGCTTTTTTATTTACACGTAATGGACTTGGAGAGTTACATGAGGAATTAGATCATTTCCCTTTTTATATAAAATACAAGGAGACAATATATTAGACAATATATTAGAATTTATAATCAATTTATCCATTTCACCACTTCATTAACTCCACTTCCTTGTAAACCCCTTGCCTTACGTAGTATTTTTGGCCAATTTATACTTTACTGAACTATTTTTCTATAAAAAAAGAAGACAAGAAATTATCATTAAGGTTACAAATGGGCTTCCTCTCTGCTCAGTCTCCTTTCTTTCTAGCATACATAGGGAAGCAGTAAAAGAAATGTTCTCTAAGATGTGATAATAACTCAGATGAGCAGTTTTGTCAGGAAGTTCTGTTCTCATTACATTATAAGAGACTGAAAATTACTTTTAGCCGAAATTAAGTAATTCTGATTTTGTATTAATAGAATCTGTAGTTACACTTTCTAGTAAGTACATGGTTTTGTCCATTGTGCCAGTGGGGCTGGTAAGAAATGCAAGTGCAGTGGAGCTTCATAGATAGTGAACGAGAATGAAGTTTGTTTCTTTTTGTCCTCTGAAAATACTACCTTTTAGGATACTTTCTTTGTTATGCAACTTTTGAATAGTTGAATCCTGAAGTTCTTATTCATGTTCCTAAATTATCTGTAAGATATCTGTAAGATACATGACATTGTTTTTAGTATTTAAATATTTATTTAAGTAAAATGTTTTTTGTTTTTTGTTTTTTTTATTTTTGAAATGGCATGAACTTTGTGGTTCTTGGTGAATATGAAGGGTAAAATGAGTTTGTTTTCATACATGTTACTCCATTTTCAGCAACAATAAAACCAGGAAAAATACTCGAGAACAGTTTGTAGTTACTTTGCTTTTTGTATGACAAACAAATTCAGTATATTAATGATGATTATAGTTATATATTGAGATTTTTTTCTCCCTATGTGAATTGTTTCATATTGAAAGACAAAATGCTGTATAAAATGTTTTGAAAGCATATTGTAGAGCTCTTTTAAAATACTTGTAATAAACTATTTTATTTATATTGTACTTTCAGAGTGTGCTTTATGTGCAAACCAGAGTTTTGAAACTACCTAACATTCATTATGCAGAAAAGACTGCATATCAAAATAACTTTCTATGTTAGAACAATAGGTGCGGTTTCAGATATTTTTTGTTATAAAATATAAATATGTTTAAAGATAACATCTTTCTTAAGGAGTTAGTCATTTAGAAATGCTATGAGAGTAATGTTTAGAGAACACAAAACTTTCATGTTGTGAAAATAACAATTTTGGTAATATGAAGGGAAAGTAATACAAAGAGATATTTTTGAGGGATGACTAGACATTTGTGGGAAGTGTTACTCTCATGAATTTGGAACATAATGAAATCTTTGGGCTTGGATTTCAGAGCCACAGTGTCTGTCTGGCTCTCCATCCCTTCATAAAAAGTTTTCTGTCAGTATAAAGTCGTTATTTATAAATTTATAAGTATAAATTTTATGGGGATTATTCCACAAACTAGCTAGAAAGGTTTCTAAGAGTCAGGAGAAAAAAAACCTGAGGTTGAAATCCTGCTTTTTGCAGTTAACAGTAAAATTTTTACAAGTGTCTTTGAGAATTTGAGCTAGCACAGTTTTCTCTGTGTTCACAGTAACACTTCTTGTTCATTAGTATGTCAGTCATTTTCCATAACGCTTCAAGGCAAGTTCAAGCCATCAATCTTTTAAGTATCTTTGGTGGCAGAAACAGTGCCTGTGGTTTTGTTAGAATGAACTAATGGCTAATACTAATAATCTGATAGTATTGGAGTAGTGGATTTTTTGAGACTGTGCAGAACCAAAGCATATTCTACAGAGGAAAACAGGGGTCCTCCTGTGTTAACAATGAGCCCCTGCTGAGGAGGACTTCTCCAACAGCATGGGTTTAGCACTGAGCTTGTTCTGTGTGGAATAGAAGGGTCAAATATTTTAAAACAAGCAGGAAAAAAAACAGTAAAAGGGATTTTTTTTTTAAGACAAATTATACAACTGCAGTACTAACTGACCACATCATCCATTTTCTGTCTAGATGTGGCTATGAATATCTTTAAAATGTTAATGCTGCACTATCATTGCAGTGTGTCACTAGTGAGTGTTTTAGGTGGCTCAAGTGAAAGTGCAACAAAGTTTGCTGGCAACATCCACTGTGCTACTTATTACATGGTTAAAGCACAGAGACAAAACTCAGACTAAAATATAAAATAAATCAATCTATAATTAAAATCAGCCTAAAATGTGTGTGTGGAGGCTGGTGATGGGATGGGCTTAGGATGGGAAAGGTTAAGGATAAAAGTAATAAGGGGACTCCAGTTGAGTCATAAGATTCAGAGGGGAGCCCCTTGCCGCACTTAGCCCCAGATTTGACCAACAGTTTAGGCCTAAAGTAACAGCACTTAAAAGCACTTAAATTAAGTAATTTCCCAAAGATTCTGTAGAATTTATATAGCACTACAGCAATTCACAGTCCTAACTCACAAATTTAACACTTCAGTGTCCAAGAGAGCAACATTCATGGTATGTTTGCTTCAGCATATTCACTCACACATGCAGAGAACTAAGGACTATGTTCAGGCTATACACCTGTGAAAACTTCCCTCAAGTTCAGTGAAGTTCTCATGTCAGATGCCACTGCATCTTCTCACTGGGCAAAGGGCTGAGCCTGTGGGGTATCAGCCCAGGCTCTAGCAGCAGTGTTCAGTGCAGTCCTCAGAGTGTAGGAAACTTAGGAGTTCCCCAGCCGAGAGCCATCCCACTCAGAGGGCAAGTGCTGGTTGAAGCCTCATGTGGTTCAAGAGAGCTCCAAGGGTCTTACTTAGGACTGCTGTTCATAGGGTTGCTAGAGAGCTGCCTTTAGTCATAGTAACTCCATCCTGGATGAAATTCGGCTCAGCAACTTTCTTTGAAAGTTTGGTAAAAAAAATTGTTCCACTTGAGTTGTTATGCAGGCAAGAAGAATAAGTTCCCAAGGCTGTTTGTTAAAGAACAGGAGCTTGTTAGAGAACAAGTTCCCAGGAAGAGACAATGTTTCTGATAAGCTCAAGAGGAGCTCAGCCTCAGTGCTGTTTGTCAAGGCCGAGGAGCAATTCTCTGGCCTGAGGTGTGAGTGGGTGGGTGGCAGCTGTAGCCCCACACAAGGTTTGCAGAAAGTCAAAACATACACACACACACACACACACACACACATACATATATATATATATATGTGTGTGTGTGTGTGTGTGTGTCTGCAGAAAAAATTGAAAGAGGAAAAAAGCAACAATAAACCATGGAAAAAAATTGTTTAATCACTGAAACTGCTTTACACTGTGTGCTGTGTTTCTCACTTGGCAGTGGTCTGCTCTCACACACTTGGAGCCAGCAAGAAAATCAGTGAGGCAAATAGGAGATAGATACAAAAGAAACTTAATAGAAATTAATGACACCTTAGGCTTCAAACCAAGATGCTGGATCTAATGTTTGGTTTTCCTAGCTGCCTCCTAGTATAAACGTAAAACTCCAAAAGTCATAATCTCTGAATAGTAGCTCATTTGAGTAACACTTACCTAGGTACAGTTGCATAACTCTTAAATCAATAAAGACTATGGATTCAGTCCATAGTAATGGCCCCTTGTAATGATGTTGAAAATGCCCAGACCTCCTAAATAACTGAACTGGTAATGGTTCATATTCCTAGCACAAGGTTTTGTGGATTTTTAAAGTGTAAGCTTTAACTTAATAGCCTGGTTTTATGGTCTGATGGCTGTGGATGAGATGTATCTGAGAGGCAGTTATCATAAGGAAAACTGAAATTACAGAAGTGACTTTTCTATGCTCTCCTATAATGTTCTTTCTCCAGGTTAAACAGATAAGTTGTGTTTCTTCATATAATGACTACTTCTGTCAAGCAGCTTTTAAATAGCTTTTTTTTAGCATCTGTTAAAAAAAGGTGAATCTTCAAAGTCCAAGGAAGTGAAGGAGAAATCAGTGTTATGACAACAAAATCACTCACAAATGAACTGATATTTCCTTGTTATGAAACTATTCTAACATGAAAGTGTTATTATGTCAATGCTGAGTTATCATGGGTCTCTGAATGCTGTTTTACTCCTGTTCTCTGCCATTCCAGTTCCTGACTGCTCCCAGAATATCCTTCTGTGTGGTTTGACTGTTACACACCTGACATGGTTTGAATATGTGGATGAAATTTTTCCTCTTTGCTGGAATCCTTCCAGTGTCCCTGGAGCCAATCTGTATGGATCTGTGAAACCCCACCTGTGAGTTCTAGTCCAAGAGTCACAGAGCTGGCTGTAGGACATGTGCTGCCATGGCGTGCAAAATAGTGCCTGAGGATGTGAGTGCAGGAAGATGTGAGGAGCTGACTGGTGGTGATGTAGAATGTGGCCTGTCATTCTCCACTAAGCCATCTGGGTGTGTAAGGTAGTAGGAGCACATGGATATGGTGACTGTCCAGCTTTGCCTGTGGCACTGGAACGTGCCTTGCTGACATAGTGAAAGAGGGGAAACAGAAGTGTGTGGCCACTGCTATTTAAAAAAGTAAAAGACTACTCCTACACTGAAGAAGCCAGCTATGCATGGTATCTCCCCTTTTTACTCCTAATGCACTACACTCAAATCCTATTGACATGAAGGAAAACACTATCTGGATGCTAAGTGCCGTTATTTTATCCGTGCAATTTTTTTGATTAATTTTAATCCCTAGTATGTGTTTGCATAAGTAGCTTACTGAGCTACAGAAAAACAGGTGATTCCCTCAAATTCTAGTTTATTTTGTTTCTAAGATGATCCTGAAAACACAGCAGAGCAGAGAGATTCCTGTTAGTGACAATACAGTCCTACTGAATGAAGCAGAAATCTGCTAAACTATCTAGACACCAAAAGTGTAGCAGCCAATTTGAGGATAATTTTTAAGATCAAAATAAGTTAGGATTTTTTCATGACACTGAGAGCAACCTTGGATCAGTATCTTGGAAACCTTGTTTGCTGTAGAGTACTATATCTTGTATCTTATACTCCGGGTCTTAAAAATAGCAGGTACTTGGGTTGTGAGAATAGCTCCAGAAGAATCCCCTCAGGTGTTGAATAATTTGTCTGATGCTAATGCAATTAGCAGAGAAAAACATATCTATTTGCTAATAAGCTAAAATGATATTTTGAGTAATATAGTTGTTTATATTACAGTAGAAGGGTTTTTTCAATAAAAGGAATTATTAAAAGTCAAAACATTTTTTTTGGTATTACACAGGTGTGAATTTCCTGCTTTCAGTAGGTATTCTGTTTTATTGCCATTTTATACTCCTTTAAAATCCTGAAATGCTAATGGAAATGTCTACCAAAAACCTAGAAAATATAGAGAAAAGCAAGGATGAAAGCTTTAGGAAACTGGAGCTAGCTCTTAGCATCATAGAATTGCTGTCTTGATTGAGTTTTACACTACATATTAGATATGTAACAGTTTTGTCTGCAATGTGTATTTTTTTTCCTTTATTGTGAGAAAAGAGACATGCTCAGAAACTTACTTTTACAATGATGCTGCAAATATACCCAAATTTCTATAGCACTTATCATGCCAGCACTAGAAGACAGGAAATTATTTGCCTTAAAATCTCATTTCAGTGATGAAATTTCTCCATCAAACAGATTTATTTCATATTCATTTTTTTTTCTACATAGAAACTTTATCACATAAAAGCTTCTCACAGGATTTTTAGCAAATATTGCTAGAGCTTTTCTGACCACTGATCACAACTTCTTACCACTGTTCTCCCTCAGCTGGGAAGAACCTAGCTAGAAGTCTCCAAAGAGAATTACAATAGTTTAGATTCTGCTCTAACTTAAGCTGTTACCCAAATGTGAGCCCAGCAACAGAAAGCTAAGAATGACACAAAGTCTCCTCTTTCACCGTCTCCTTCACTAGAGGCATGCCTGCTATTCTGGGATATAAAAGCAGCTGGGTTGCTGAATTAACCATATTTTCTTCTAGTCATGAGCTCAGAATATCCATTGAAGTTGCTGTAAGTTTTGCACAAAAAATCAAGGGCAGTACATTGGCCAGAATGTGTGCTAAATAAATATTTATACACAAATCAGAATGCTACTGATGGCTTCTTTACAGAAGAATGCACATAAATAAAATAGGAAAACCAACGTGACATGATTGAATTAAAGCTGTAATGAACAGACTGAACATTTAGTTTATATGAATATTAACTTCTATGAGGGGTGAGCTATAACCAAAGCAATAACCCCCTGTCATTGTGCCTAAACTTTCTACATTGTAAAGGATTCCGCTGATCTTTTTTGAGAAGATTTTCAAAATTTTATTTACCTGAAAGGAGGTTTAAATCAATGTATTTCTTCTATAATTTCAACAGATAAGAGACAGAGAAATTTCAGATCTTCTTTGCTTAATGTACATATTATTCTATTTATATGCCATTCATCCCCTCTTTCCTTTCAAAAACTTATTTTATAGATATATATTCATAAATATAACTTAGCAAGAAATATTTCAAAATATTGCATATTCATAGTCACTTTCTGCCTTTGGTTAGAAGAAAAGCTGTATGTGCAAGTTGTTATATATACATGATGCATGATGACACCTGAAATTCTCATATGTGGAGATTTCGGTTTCAGAGCTTTTCAGAGGGACGCCTCTTGAAAAATCTCATGTGTATGTGGAAAAGTCAATAAACTAAGATAAAAGCTGATTTTAAAGTGATGCATTCTCCCAAGATTTACAGACTCACTTCACAGAAAGCCTAGCCAACATATGGCTTAGTGTCACTCAGGCTGAGATTCATCTGCTTTAAATTAAGGTGTGCAGTGTGCAGTTAGGTACCTCCCCAAAGGTAAGTGTACACAAGGAATGGAATGCAGTGATGATATTAGGCCAGGCAACACATTCCCATACAGCAGTGAGTTGCATCCTAGATATTTTGACCCCCCCATCCTGAGAAGCGTAGTTCAATTAAAAATCACCCGGACCACCTCAATATTTGTAAGTTGTGCCCAGAGAAAGCACCACTCAGCCATCAGAACTTAGCTGGTTTTGACTTTCTGCACACAAAGGCTATCAGAACGGCTTGCTTTCAAAAAGGGAACGTAAACTTCCCTTGGCCTCTGAGTTACGGAACACATGGGCCAAGAAACACTAAGGGTATTCAGTATATGCAGGAAGGAGAAAAAACTACTGTTGAAAGAGGAAGTAAAGCCACAGTCAATGATTTGGGAAGGAAGAAGTGTCTCCATCTATCAGGCCCCAGTATCTCTATGAAGAAGCAACTGAGACCAAAGACTCAACAGCCTTGGTCATGTTCTGAAACTTTATGCCCAGCTTGAAACTGTACAGGTGGACAAGGAGCAAAGCAGCCCCTGGATGGGAGAGCATGGGGAGGTACAACAATGCTGTCTGTCAGTGAGCCGCTTTTCTGTTTTATGAGAGTGGTGTTAGCATGCCCTCAGCTATGAGGGAACAGGGTCTTCACCCTGGAAAGAAATTTTGAAATCTTCAATTCCATCTTATGTCAGGGGTACACTTGTTCTGCTCCCCATGTCACCTGGACAGGTGACAGTAGAGTTGTGATAGCAGCCTATCGGCGATTGAGAGACTGGAACATCCGAGTTGAGATCAGAAGCCCATTTTACTGCGTATACAAGGTGTTTATATAGGGTTTTACTTGTATGGAACTTATAGAGGGTTCTATTTTGGGTAGCAGTTTCTCATTGTTTACACATTCTTCATGACATCACTTCACCCAGTAACATTATCTTATCACAAAGTTTCATGTGTTTCTTGGTCACTTATTGCCCAGGGAGCACTTACCTGTGCACTTGTCTGTGTCCCACAGTTTCTGCTCGATCAGGCCTAAGACATCAGGTTCCTTTTTCAGTTCCACTGTGCTCTCTGTATTATTCCCCATAGTAGCCACCCCATCATTCCAAATGAAAGAGCCAGGAATAGTCTCTGCTGCTGTGCTGCAGTGACCAGGCTGGGGCACATGAGGATTCACCTTTCCCAGCAGAATGCTTCCTTGAAGGAGAACAAGTCAGCTGTCCACCAGACAAAGATGCCTGCCCATAATTTTGAAAAAGTTTCATGATTAGAATGGATAAGGCCATTTTGCATGCTGAGTACAGCACTGGTACTTCTAACCTGCTTTGGAACAAAACTTTCCCACCAGAGTATACAAAGGTGCAAGGGGGTATCCATACAGAGTCTGCATCTTAGTGCGGAGTTTATTTATGTCTAAGGAGCTGAAGTCAAAATATCTGTATGCTAAACAGACAATCAAAAGTGAGACAGTGTTTATATTACAAGTATGACCCTGCTGAATCTATGGCACTGCTGAATCTGCTGAATTCACTGGTCATGTCTCACTGATGACCCTAAAACAGTAACAAACAAAATCAGCTAATGCTTGAAATCTTTATCTATGAATTGTCTGGAGTTTTCATTGCTAGGAATTAATATTTTCTGTGACTCTAGGTAGAATCTAAAGTAATCTAAAAGGTAGAAAATAGAGAACATAGACTCAACCGCTGCTGATTATCACTAGGTACTTCTTTTTCTGGTGGAACTGTGCTCAGGAGAGTATAACAGAAATAAAAGCAATGGCCAGCTTGGCTTACATGGTTTACAAAGAAAAGGAGAAAAGCATATTTTTCCTGGTTACAAAAGTATAGAAGGGGTAGCATCCAAAACAAGAGGAGTTAATTAAGCAAGAAAGGAGCACGGAATATAAATTGACCAGGACTGTATGCAGCATAGAAATGAATCATACTCTTGAAAACTGCATCTACTCAAATATGTGGCTTTTAAATAATGCATATGTTCATGAATGAATTAACAGGTTTTTGAAAGGAATATTTGATTTTCTTGACATGTTAAGCCAATGAGTATAGAGAGATGGAGAACTTCACAGAAGGCTGCTGGGATGATGGGGTACAGGGTTTTATTCCTCCTCAATTACAAAGGAGTTTGGAGTGGAAAGTGTCAGATGTGCCTCCACTCTGGGGGAAACTGAGCATAGGAATTCAAGAGAACAGTCTTAATAGACAGTTGTGAGCTGGGGTGAGATTTGCAGATGGGGACAAAGGTACAACACTAGGTGTCATTATTCTTGGTCTCACCACAATTCTTTAAAGGTTCCCCTGCTCTTGAGGATGAAGGCAATGTATTTTTCCAAAGCGCTAATTTATACTTTTGTTACTCATCTGTAGCCCTACTGTCCCAGCACTCTCAAAATAAACAATACCCTGTATAGAGAAAAATTCAATATATTATTTATAGGGAGGGGATCTTTGCCACTTTGACATTTTCACTGAGGAACGTAATTATACTGCCTAACATTAGGCATCTAATATTAGTTTCTGATATCAGAACCTCCTTCAGAGAATGAGATCACTTAGTTTTGGTTTGCCCTTTGGAAGGACCTCTGTTGCAACATTGACTGTATTGAGATTGAAGACAACTGATCTACTCACTGGGACACCCAAATGCCAAAAATTAGGTAAATGTGGATTCCTTCTTGAGGTTTCAAAGCTTTGATAACATAAGGAAATTTGTGGGTTTTGACACAGGCCTGATCATAACCAGAAGATTTAGGTTAGCCTTGCAAGGCTGTTCTAGAAAATTCACAATTTTTTTTTACAAAATTTACAAAATGCAAAATGCATTTGCCTCTCCTAATTGTCCCATCTTAACACAAATCAAACTTTTGGCTTCCATCTGAAAGCCAGTTCAGAAACTTTCCTATTTTCACCCTATAAGTAATGAACTTACATTCCTTTGTCCTTTTTAATCAGTGTTTTGTAGCTTCAATTTCAGTCTTTGTTATTTACAAAATTTGATACTGGTACTTTTGTAACTTTTAAATTTTACTGGTTTTCATCTTTATGGATCTCCTAAAGTAAAGGCATGCAGTAGGCATATTTATTTGAATGCAGCCATTGTCTGATCCTATTCAACGTACTGTCATTACTTTTCCCATTCCCATTGTACATTCTAATTCAACTTCAAAAAGAATATTTAGTTTAACCTCTGCTTGAAGAAATGAAATGGAGATCACCTTGATATGAAAACAAAGGAGGTCATATTCAAAACAGACTTCAATAGGACCTGCCTGGAAGTTTAAAGTACTCAAGTGGCAGGTGATGGATAATGAGCCTAGAAACAAAGCACAGTAACTTCCCTGGGGAGCCTGTTAATTTCCTCCTTAATTAATCTGTTTACCAAATAGAGTAAGTTAATTGCACACCGTTCTAAAGCATTACCAAACTGTTGACTTCCTTTAGCATACAATTTCCCCCTTGTACTTTTGCCTCTCTTCCACACATTTCAAGAGATTCACAGAGTATTCTGAGTTAGAAGGGACCCCATAAGGACCATCCTGTGTAGCTCTTTCGTAAATGTCCCTAATTCCGGGCCTGTGGATCGGACAGAGCGCTCACCCACGCTCTGGGTGTCGGTAGCAATTGTTCGAGGTTAAAAAGAGTGTGGTTTTTTCCACATTAGACGGACAGAAAACTGCGCTCTAAGTGACACATAAAACAAAAGGAGACTCCCTAAGCGGATTCACTGAGCGCTGGAAGGCTGAGTGCGCTGACAGTCCCCTTCACCTTTTCCCTCAGCCTTTCAACAGCGACTCCGGAACTCCGGCGGGCGGCAGGGAGGGAGCTGAAGTGCAGGAGGGAACTGTAGTGCAGGAGGGAGCAGCAGTGCAGGGAGGGAGCAGCAGTGCAGGGAGGGAGCTGCAGGGCAGGGAAGGAGCTGCAGCGGCACGGCGGGAGCAGCAGATGGCGCGGCCACCGCTCGCCCTCCCCTCAGCCGCTCCAGCCCTCGCGGCCCCGGAAGCGTTCCCGCCTCCGCTGCTCCTGGCCCGGACATCCCTCCCTCGGCCTGGGCTGGGCTGGCAGTGCCGGGGGATACGGCCTGTGCCGGGCGGCTCCATGGCGGCGACCACGGCCACGGCGGCGTCCTCGGCCCCGCCGAAGAAGATCGTGGCGCCCACGGTGTCGCAGATCAACGCGGAGTACGTGACACAGGTAGGGCCGCAGCCGGGGCTCGAAGGGGCGTTCTGGCGGCGGCGGCGCCTCGGTGTTTAAATAGCCTTTGTAGGCCATGGGTGATGGGGAAAGGGTCTTTTTTGGTTGTAATTGACGAGGGGTGTACGGCTCTGTCACGTACGAGAGGGTGTTTCCCCCCGCGTTTCCAGAGCGGCGGGATTTACAAAGAAGCAAACGCATCAGTGCAATACACTATAGAGCTCGGCTATAAGGCATGTTTTAACGTGTGGAAAACTGCCCAGAGTTCCTTGTTGGTGAAAGTTTTAAGTGATTTTCTATAAGTAGTTATTTTGTTTGTTTGTTTTTGGTGATTTTTTTTTGTTTGTTTTTTTTATTTTTCCTTTTTTTCCTGGGAATCTCGAATAAAGTTGCACAGAGAGCTCTTGGCATCATCGCTCAGGAATATCGGTGAAGTGGTGGCTGCAGCAAAGAACTTTAAAATGCTAGACTTTCATATATAGCCTCTAGTTACTTGTCAGGTTCCTCAAATAAGCATAGTCACTTGCCATTTGGGATTTGCAGTTCCTGAAAGATCATGGTTTATTTTTGATGGATTTGTTAGACATAACTTAGGAATATAAAACGTTTGTTAGATAGCAGTTTATGCATCTGAAATTTCTCCAAAGAATTGCATTTTTATTGAAAGAGGTTTAGGCATAAAAGCCCTGAATGGTTGATAAGCATTGCTGTTAGAAAACAACTTTGTTACTCGTAGTTAACATAATCTGAAATTAAGCAAGCTACTAGTGAAATGAAGTTTGGGGATGGGCTATGTTGTATAGATGTATCATTGACATGAAAATGTATGTATTTAACCTTTTTTTTTCCCTTGTGCAGTTAGCAAATAAATACTGGGCTCCACATGTGAAGAAAACATTGTCTTTTGATGTAAAGGTAATTACTTCTACTGGAATTTTGTTGGGGGTGTAAAAGAATGTGGATCAACCATTCTGTCATGTGAAATATTTAGTGTTGCTTATTTTATATGAGACTATAGGTGACTGCTTGGAAGGACAGCTGTTGCTTGAGACACTGTAATTCATTATGTATTTGTACTTTATAAATGTAAGCACTGTTAGGAAGGTGTGCTGTAGCATACCTTTTATTTTGTATTTTGTTATTTTGTATGCTTTTCAGTTTATTTTGGTCAAGGATTCATGAGGGCAAAAGACTTTTGAACATCTGCTTTTAGGTTAAAAGATGCTTGAGGGGATTTTACTTTTAGAAATCAAATAGGAATGAATAATGTTCTTTCTAAATAGAATAGTGTTCTTTCTAAAAGCTTCTTTGGTGAGCCTTCATCAACTTTATTGCCATTCTGGTGGATATGTGCATTTTGAATTTTCAAAATTTGGCACGGTTTGTTTGGTTTTGTGTACTGCAGGGTAAGTTTCTTTTCCTTGTGGATGTTTGCCTAAATCTCCCTGTTTAGCCTCAGTTTATTTTGTAGTATTTGTGATAGAATTTGTCTGTGATTGTTAGAACTGTAGATTGTTAGGATGTACATAAACAGCTGAACTGCATCTTCACGTTATGTGATGTCAAAGTGTGCCTGTTTCAACTTAAAGTGCAGATTCTTTTCATTCTCGTTGGAAAAAATATCGAAAGTATTATAATAGCAGCAAGCAAAGAGTAACTAATTCAGAATAAAATGTATTAATGCATTTTGAACCACATTAGTGGGTATATAAAATTCTCTAAAAATATTTTTCCATAGGTCATTGAAGATGTATATACAAAAGAAATTGTCAGGTCAAAGTAAGTATGCCAGTTGCTTTCTCTTGTTTACCACCATTCCAACATTATCCATGCTGGAATTGTTTCTAATGTTTGATACTTTAAAACTCATCTATATATTGAAAGTAGATGAAAATTACTCAAGTACATTTAAGTAATTTAATCATTATGGTATTTCAAAGTCTGAATGTGGTAACAAGAGAGTTCCTAAGCCCATAAACCTTAAATGTGATGGTTGGAATTAATATTTTTCAGACCCTTTACCTGGTAGTCTGTTGTCTTTCATGTTGGTTTTGTTGTGTAGAAGGCTGATCTCTTCTTTTGTCACTAAGGAATGTAAAGGAAGAAAAAACCAAAAAAATGTTGCACAGTGCACTGCCTCTAGCTTCCTTCTCTGTTCTGGCTGCTGTTACCAGACTCATGAAGCAAAAGTCTAGTTTCAGTGAATTGTACTGTTAGATGGGGGAGACAAAGCCAAGATACACTGCATCCTGCAGCTCTCTGTGCAGACTGTAGCTAGAGCTTTTTGGGTAAAGCTCTGCAGAGAATTCTCTGTATTATTCCTGTATGAAAGCAATCTAAGAATTTGTCATATGGAGTCAAAGCAAACTACCATTTCCAGTCACTAAGAAAAAATACCATTATGAGCAGATGAAGTATATAATTGTAGTTTTCCAGGAGACACTCTCAGCTGCTAGCAGTTCGTATCATCAAGGCTATTGGAAGTGGTGACTTCATATTTAAAAGACCTACGTGAATTTCTTTAAAATGTGAATTTAATTGCTTAATGAATCTCTATGAACTTTAGCTTCTGCAGTGTAACAGCAGTTGCTTCTGCATCCAAGTGGTTGCTATTGCATGGAAATGTCAGGACAGCAATAATTACTGAGTGTTTCTAAAAGTTACCTTATACAATGAAATAAGGGAAAATGTAGCCATTTTCTACGCAGCTGTGTGTGGGAGGCTTTCTTTCCTGTGTTAATTGATTAATTTTTCCTTTTCAGGTTTGCGATTAGAAAGATAATGCTTCTTGAATTCAGGTAAGCTAATGGGAGGGAAATTTGGAGAAGCTGTAAGGGTGAGAAAGAAGTGCAGGGCAGTAAGACAGTTTGAAGGTAGTGAACTCATTCATACTAAGTAAGGCCTTGAATTGTGTGCTGAGGAAAATTAAGTGTGGAGAGCTTAATTTAAAGAGGAAATAATTCCATAAGTGTAAGTAACATGTCAGAGTATCTTGTTTTATGATTCTCAATTTCTAGTGGAAGTGGAACACCAAGAAAGAGAGTATGAATGAAATAAGTAAAAAACTTAGTTCTGTTATTTAGAATGTGTCATTAAGCCTTAAGTCAGAACTCACTGAAATCAGAGAAGTTTTTTGATTATGTCTCTTACCATGAGGTTAAAAATGAATTGTGCTGCAGCAGCATCATTAACATTTTCTTTTCTTGAAAAAGAATAGTAATCTATTTAAACAGTAGTTTACAACCACTTTAGACTTTCCTGGAAGAACTTCTAGAGTATATCTAAAATGATGTAAAATAATAGTTGTAATATGTACTTTAAACCACAATATTGTATGTTCTGTTTGGCTCTTTTAGCTCAAATCTTAAGAAAAAATACAAGATGTTTTTCGTTTGAGGTACATTCTTTGTTTCAAAAAAGCTCAAGTCCATAAGTTAGTACCAGTAACTACAAAAGGACAAACTTCCCTTGGATTTTTGCATGTTAATTAGAAAAAGTGCAGAAGAGAAAATATAAATTATGGTTAAGGGTTTGACACTGACGAACAGCAGGCAATGGACTTCTGGAATTTGTATGTCAGCAGTAGCACAGAGTTAGAAGTTCCTGTCCTTTCTGTGAACATTGTTCATGTCATCAGTTACTCAGTCTAGCAAGTTTTGCTTCAGTGACCTAGATGAGAGGTAACTTGAAGAACTACTCACAAACTATGAAGATGGCTTTCAGGGTAGGAGATAAAAAACACCTTGTGGGTAACTGCTTTTTTTAAATGAGTGACAGATTATGTGGGTGGCTGCAACTAATGAAATACTCTTTATCTCTTCACAGTCAGTACCTTGAAAATTACCTATGGATGAATTATTCTCCAGAGGTGTCCAGTAAGGCATATTTAATGTCAATCTGCTGTATGGTGAATGAGAAGTTCAGAGAGAATGTCCCTGCGTGGGAGGTAACTTATTTCAATTGCAGCTAGAATTGACTTTGATCTGCAAGTTGCAGCTTTTACAGTGTGCTCACTTACAGTGACAGAAGGTAGAAGAGCTTGTAGTGTTAAAAGGAAATGGTGCCTCAGCTGGAATATCTAATATGGTGTTTAAAACTTTGTGTTCTTTTTTGGAGAAAGGAAAGGACAGGTGAAAAATTACTTGATCCCTTCTGGTGTGAAAGTCCTTGGTTCTGCTGAACATCTGTGAGATGCTGAATATTATCACCAGCATTTGTCTTTTTTGGCACTTGACAGAGGTTGGGTATTTGAAGAGAAGTTTTTGCTCTGATATTGAAAGAAAAAGAAGGATTTATGTATCTCTATGTATAAGAAGGCACCACTGGAAGTGTAATGTGTTATCCAGTAACGTCTTAAAACTTGTGAATTTTGGTTTCTACCTTTTTTTGCTTTATACTCAAAGTCTTACTCTTCTTTTGTGTTTATTATTTTGTTCGTTTTTTTTGTTTAAGTTTTTTGTTTTGGGTTTTGGGGTTGTTTTTTTTGGTAATTGGTAATAATAGGTTTAGAAATTATTTAATGTTTTTACAAACAATCCAGGTTTTATGGGCTGTCTCAACAATGGAAGTCTAGTTATACATTCTATGCAGTCATTATTTCAGAAGCACACTGACTTCAATGTGTGCCATTAATTGAGAGCTGGCAAAGCACAAAGGATTAGTAACTTGCTTATATGTTGTCTGTGTGCTTTTCTTCTGGTATATGTGCTAGAAGTAAAATGACATGTGCTTGCTATGTTCTAAGCAGCTTAGTTAAATTTATTTGATACATGACTGCCCTTGTAAAGGAGCTATTTTATCTTGATGATTATTCAGTTTATCTTTTTTTCTGCTCAGGTAGCTGAATGGAAGTTCCAGGACTATAATTAATTTCTGGTGGTTTTTACTAGCTCACTTTTTGCATGTCACTTAGAGCTGCCATAGCTTTGGCCAGAACCTACCATTTACCTTCCACCTGGGAGATTTTAGAGTATTTCTGTGCAGTCACCAGGTGAACATTCCCGCAAGACTTCAGCTGTGCTTCTTGTTTAGTTTGTCCTGTGCATCACCTGTTATGCAGAAGGTGTATGGAGAGGATCCCTTGTCAGGAGGATATCATTAGTCTGTTTTACTTGTGCTGCCTGGTTAGAATAAATGAAAATGAGAAAAACTAATCCCTTCTCTTATAGATTTAAATTAATTTAGAGAATTTCAGCTATGTTATGTGAATGAAGATTGAAATGATTTGTATTGATCTGACTCAAAATTGCTTTCCTCTTCTATTCTTAGATATTCAAAAAAAGGCCAGAACACTTTCCTTTCTTTTTCAAACGCATACTGGAAGCATCGCTGGTCGAAGATGAGAGTGAGTACTCTCTGCATGAACAGACAGTCCTGCTGCTTTTCCTTGATCACTGCTTCAATAGTTTGGTATGTTAAAAGTAGCTGTAAATATTTCCAGTGTGTTTATGCTGCTCTGTGTTAACAGCAGTTTAGTTTGAGCAATTTCTTCTTATAAGGCAGATGAAGCAAAATTCCGATGTAAGGAAGACATGGTACCAGAGGGCTTTTACCCTCTGTTTTGACTCTTACTTTATCTCTCTCATCACATTTGCTTTTCTCCGACACAAGGTCATAGATAAGACTTGAAACTGGAGGATTGGCAGTTAGACAATTAAAAGACAGGATTTAATACAAATTTTTTCTTTTAAAAATACTACTTTAAAATTTATGTATTTATATTTGAAAATATTTACATTTAAGCTTTATTTTTAAAACATATTAGTTACTACTGTGCTCTTTTTAGTTTGCCTAGGAAATAGCACAAAAATTAGTTCCATTAATTATTGAGAAAAACAGTGAAGCTCTTTTCACTTTTGAAACCAGGTTTAGATGTGATTTTTATCTTCAGTTCTTGTGAGGTAGTTTAAGAGAGCATCAGAGCAATTTGTGTTCTCAATTTATAGTTAAAACAGGGTTAAAGATCCTAAGTAGTAAGCAGGAAAAGTAATTTACAATTACCTGTTACATGAAGCAGTGCTCTCCAACCTCTCTTGCTACTGGACTTTTTCCTTATTTGCATTGCACACACGGGGTATATTATTCAAAATCAAGGTCTGCACAAACAACAAAATTCTCTCAGACAAAACAACATAGAAAATGTATTATTTGATTGGATTAGCAATGATTTTGGGAGCCAGTAACCATCTTGAACTTTGTGTGTATAGTTCATTGAGATGGTATTTTTCTGTGGTGGCCATGGGACAATGCATCTTCATTTTAAATAGTTTGTGACTACAGAATCCTTCTTGTTGGGCACCTTTCTGATACAACATGATAGGGAAGCTGGTGAAAATATGCCTGTAAAAGCACATTGTTACTCGAAGGTGCCCTTTTTTGTGAAAGGCAGGAACAGTCATAGTAGTGTTTTAAGTGAAGAGCACTGTAGTTTGAAGTTTCAGAGTGCTGAGAATGGAGTGTTTGTCCATGAATAGAACATTTGTCCATGAAGACATACTTAAGATGTTAATTGAAATTTTTCAGTTGCTCAGGAAAGAAGGAAAATTTTGTGGATCCAGATCACAGGCATAGTTGGAGAGAGTACATTTGAACTGACATGGAGAAAATGATTTGTTTCATACAATGGAAAGAGTGTAGAAGAAGTGAGAGACACTTGATAAATTAAGGGCTTCAGGAGACAGCAGCTTAAAAACAAGTAGAAAAAACACAGTCAGTGAGTTCAAGAGTAAGAAATGACTGAAGAAGGACTATCAGTTCTCAGCTTTTGTGCTAAGAATGCTTGCATGGATGGGGCCCCTGGTGAAGTATTAAGAACTGACAAACTCCATGAAAAGAACCTAAAATACAGAGGTGCCACTGGGTCGGGTTAGGTCTAATCTAATAGAACAATATAAATATCTTTTGTCAGATGTTAATGTACATTGATGTATTTTGTAAGACAGAAAATCATATCAGAAAACATAAGAATGTTTTTAAAATTTTTATCATCTGTAACTTTCTAACAGGAAGTGGATTTGATCAGAGGTCAGGTGCAGCAGCTCATTTCCTTGCCGATGTGGATGGCTCTACAACCTGTAAGCATAACACTGTTAACTGGCAGAGCAGTTTCCTAGGCATCATCCAAGTTGTGTAAAGTAAATTCTCATGGAATTCTGTTAAGGAACTCTAATATTTACAGTGTTGCTATGGAATTTCAGTTTTGTGTGCTTTGCTAAATTCTTTCCTGTTTGTTGCAAATTTCCATATAATAATGTTTATATGTAATTTTTCAGAAAACTGAGCTTTTTTGTTTATAGCTTCTTCAAGCTACGATTTGTAGACAGGACCAAGAGATCACAGGGAGGCCATGGAGTTGACATCTAGTTGTGGCTAGACTCTCTAGCATTATTATGTTTTTGTTTTACAGTGATACTGAGAATAGCCAGAAATAGCTCTTTATTTAAGTTTGCTATATATTTTTTAATAATAAGACTTGAATGTATTTTTATCTCATGAAAACAAGATTCCTTAGTGACTGAATATGATTTTAATGTTTCAGAATCGACTGGAGCAAGAGTTGAAAAAGACACCAAAACTAAAAAAATTCTGGAATCTAATTAAGAAAAATGATGCAAAAATGGATGAAGAGTCAAGAATGCAGTATGTACAGAAGTATTTTTTCCTTAATTCATTCATTGTGTTTCAGCTAAAATAAATCTTTTCAATGAAATAGGTGTTTTCTGAAAACCCGTGGCAAATGAGGATTGATCATATGTGGCCTCCTGGAAGCTGTTCTGTTTTTCAGTAGTCTATATGCAAAATACTATTTTAGAACTTTGTATTTTATTTGGTCAGTGAATTCGTGATATCAAATCTTAAAACTAAAGGATGAAAGCTTAAAAGAATATTCATGTAGCTACTCGCTTTTTTTTATGACTTTTAGCAAATGTTTAGCTCTTAGACATATAGCTTGTGCAAGTATTTCAATAAATCTGTGTGTATCTCACCAAAATTAAGTGTTCCAGTGCCTTTGTGTTGTAATGTGGTAAGGTGTAGGAGAAGACTTTTGTCTCTGACACAGTAAGAAGCATGGGTTGTTGCCTAAAAATGTAGGCTGCTAATCTGTCTGCCTGAATGCAGAGAGAAGAGTTATCATCTAAACAGCTTTGTGTTTCAAAGCAACCTATGACCATTGTATGAATTTTGAAACAGCTATCTTTGTATTAGTGAAAGTTGCAATATACTTCAAGTCTGCATTTAAACAGTATTAATTCTTTTGTCACATGTTCCATTTTAGAGCATATCGAGAGAGAAGATTTCTTTCACAGCTCATTCAGAAATTCATTTCTGTTCTGAAGTCAATACCTGTCTCAGGTAACTGTGATTCTTATGTTACTTTGGTAATCTGTGTGAAAATCTTTTTGTATTGCTGAAGGAACTAGTCCTTAGGATATCAGCCTGAGGTTGGGGACCTTGTTCAGGCTTGTAGTGAAATCTGTGCCTGCCTCCATGGATATCAGATCAAAATTAATATTCAAATCTGTATATACTTTAAAAATGAAATGGTGAAAAGCTACTTTAAACCTTCTTCTGTTCAGTATATACTTAGTGAAAACAATATTTCTGGGAACTGTTACTCTTTATTGTGTGCTTAGAGCCTTATGGCATTAAAGCATTTCATACATACTTAGGTACCTTGTTAAATGGGTGGTATAAATGGATACGTTAAGGCTCTGTCTGTTCATACTGTTGATTTACAGTAAGAACAAAAACCTAAGTGAAGTGAAATTCTGTAATATTTGACTGCTCTTTGAGTCATTGTGACAAGCAAAATTATCTCCTTGCCTGATTTAGAAAGGAAAAGTGTTTGTAGAGGAAGGCGTTAGCCTTTTAACAGAAAAGGGTTATTATGCTCTAAGCACAGCACAATTTGGGTGAAATCAGTTCTCAGAGTTTTGCTTTTGTAAAAAAAAAAACCAACTTAACTTAAACTTTTAACAAACTTCAGCTCTTACCTGAGCTGTAAGGGTGAATTTTGTAATGTGGCTTCCTCAGAAAGGATACTTATCCCCTCTGTTTTCCTAATTATGCTAGACCTGTTTAAGGAGGACATACTTTAACAGTTCTTTGGAACCTGTAAGAAAGTTATTAAAGGAGACTTGGTGTGTTCTTCACAAGGCCCTTTTGTAGTCACCACTGAGTACCTTTGATTATTGTCAGGGCCTTTTGCACATACCTTGTTTGTAGCTTTTAAGAATGTATTTTTGAGTACTTGGCATTAATAGTTTTTAACAAACATAATGGGCGAGTGATATCTCACGGAAGTGAGCATTTTTGCATGTTACATCCAAGGTTTTTCAAAGCTGATAAAATAACTCCTGAAATTCTGGTTCTGCTACTCTTTCATTGCTAACCAGAATTTTTAATATAAGAAAGGATTGTTTTAAAAAGAGAATAATGTTTTAAATAGCTTTTAACAAGATTGAAATTAATACTTTTATAGTTGTAGCATTTATTTAGTTTTTAAGGAATTGTTCAAGTGTAAATATATTCTGATGTGGATCAATTTAAACTTTTTATTCTTTTTATCTAGGTCCTATTTCTATGGACAAAGTTCATTATTGTGAGAGGTTTATTGAACTCATGCTAGACCTTGAGGTAAGTTTTTAAATTGATTCAGCCAATTTCCAGGTGTACTTTTCTAGGGTTTAAGTGCCTAAATTAATTCTTACAGCCTTATTCCAAATAGGAGGTGATTATGTCACAGCTGTGCATATGATTGTTTAATAGTGATTTTCTGTCTGTAAATAAGAGGTTATAGCATTGCATCCATATAGGGAACTGACCAGCAATGTTGATAAGCCAGTTGAATTCTTAGACAAAGCTAGGATCCTAAAGTGCTCAGTGAAGAGGATTTATTGGGGTAGTGGTAATAATACTGGCAATTTCTGAAAATGTGTGATGCTTTAATCTGGTAGGAATAATTCAGAATTATTATTCCCAGTGTATAACAAGTCACTTAAAGTCACTTTTGTTTTGTTGGGTTAAATCCCAGGAAGCAGCAGTAGTTTGAAATGCAGCCAGTTGCTGTTTGACTAGAGTTCATTTTTCAGAAGTACCAGCTCTGGTGATCTGCCATTTGTTACAGTAATAAGGCAAGGAGCAAGGTTTTGTGAAATTTTTCAGCAGATACTATATTTTAAGCACTGCAGTACCAGTATTAAAAATAAAAGGCTCTCATTTACAGTTTCTTCTGTGAGTAATTATTTATTTAGAGTAACTTCAGATTCAGGAGGCATTGTGAAGTAACAGAATTTTCTGAAACAGTATCATGGGGAACTTTAAAATGTCTTTGTGGTGAATTTCTGCAGGCTGACTGTTAAATCACTGAAGTAGTCTGTGCTTGTAGTTGCAATAGAGTGAGTAATTTAAATAGGAGCTTGCTGTCTTATGTATGTAATACTCTGTGGTAAGAGAAAATATGTTGGAAGGTAAAGTCTGTCTGACTTAAAATGCTTAGAAGCAGTGCATTTAATACTGGTTCTCTCTAGATATTGCAGAAAGATTAGAATTCAGACAAGTTATAAAGCCTGTTTAAGTGACTGGAACAAGCAAATGAGAAATTAGCTGTAACTCCAAGTCTTTTTGCCTTTGTAGCATGTACTGTGTTAATGGGCTTTTTTTGCTTGTTTTAAAGCCTATTTCAGAATATTACAGTTTCATATTGCAGTGCATACACTGCCATCAAAACTGGTGATTTGGTAATTTGAAAGTAATGATTCAATGGAGAGTTCTTACAGTTTTATGAGTTTGTTTTTGTAATTATTGTGCAGAGCAATCAACATTCTCTACTACAGATTCTTTTATTTTTTCGTTTTGGTTCTAATCATCACCATGCTGATGCTTTTTGGCTTTCTAGATTCAGTCTGTAGAGAACAGCTAATTTTTCTCTTGAATTGTGATCTTTTACTGTATGCTGTTCAACAGTTGCTACATATAGCAGCTTAATCTATTTACATTGAGAAGAAAAGATCTTTATTTTGTTGTTATTGAAGATTTGAAAAGTACTTGAGTATTTTGCATTGAAGAGAAGATACCCTATCATATTTAGAAGAAACAGTTGGCAATTTTAAGGAAGACAAAAATTCATTAAGGAAGACTAAAATTCATTAAATTAGTGTTGAAAACAGACATTTAAAACAATGCTGAAGCAGTTTGATATATCATTTGTAGCACACAATCATTATGTAGACACATATTAGAATTAGTGGAATAATTGCTTTGTTTAATTTACT